TTCTCCTTCTCCTTCTCCTACCAAAATCACCCCAGATCCTTATTTGATATTCCATACTCTCTCTTATTCCCTACTTCAATGAATTGTGTGGGTCAGTGCAAGAAAAAGAATTTAGAAGCACTAGTGATCTTTTCCTATTCTTCTCCTTTGGAAGTGAAGAAGCTGAATTCTCCATAGAGTTGCTGCTACAGTGGGACACACCCCACTAGACTGAAATTCATAGAAATGTCCATAAACCCCAAACAACTGGAAAATAGAGGAACACCCACAAGGTACTCCAAAAAGCTAAAATTTTAATTACTATCTCCACATATTATGAGTCAGAGTGTGTTGGCAGTTCATTAATGCCCCAGGGGCTGTGGGAAGTGTTCCTCAGATGCCACCAGCTCCAGCAGAACAGTATAAAAGCCCTCACCACTCAGGGAGATCTTCACAGCTTCTCTGATCAGCTCTCTCTCTTTCCACTTCTCCTCTGAGCAGGTAAGTAAGTTTCTTCATTGGAACAAACCATTTTAGAGAATTGGAACTGCAGGATATTTATAGGCTGGAAGGGGGTGAGTGATTAGCCCTCCAAACTCTTGCATGGAGGAACAGTCACTGTGAACAAAGAGTTGGAGGAAAATAACTTTTGAGGGTTCAAAGGAAGGGAGAGGAATCAGAGCCCAGGACTTCTCTACTGAGTTTGATCAGCTTTAGCTAAGATCTTGGAAACCTGCTATAGGAAGGATAGCTTTACCCTAAAAAAACATCTAGAGGACAGACAAGGTGCTCAATGACAAACAAGGATAGGACACTTAGAAGGAAGCTTCATCTCTTCACAGTCCCTAAGCCAGAAGCTCTCAAAGGTTCTCCAATTTTTTTTAATGTGGTCTTCAGAAAAATGCAGACCATTTGTACTAGGTCCTGTGGTAATTCCCTTTTGTAATGGAAGTCTTCACAGGACTTGGAACTCAAGAGCTATTCTAGAAGGAAGCTTTCTTCAATTTTAGCTTAGGTTGTTTTGTGAATAAACTGTGGTTTATTCAAAGGCTAGGTTTGCTTGGTGGTATCAGTTAAATATCTAGTGGTTGCATTCATATAACGTGCAAAGTTTGGGTAGTTTGAACCTTGGTTGATTTGGAGGGGAGTAGCTTTACAATTCCTTATTCTGTGCATCAAAAGGATGGATTATCACCTAATTAATCATGTTTTGCAAAACCAGACAGCAAATTGAAATGAAACAAATGAGAACGTTGTCTGTACACAGCTTCACTTAGTGTCCTGCAACCTTCTCTGAGTCTTCGTGATGATTTGGCATTCTGTCTCTTTCCCCTCCCATAGTCAACTCAGTTGTGTCATGTTTCACTTCAGATTCACCTTAATTGTCCTACACAATAAGAGCGTTGACCTCTTAGAGCATTGAGCATAGAAAACTGGTGCTCTGTTCTAATACCAGAAGAGG